TATCAGAACTTACGATCCATTTTTTTCACTTGCGAGGCGGAAATATTTTACTTATGAGTAATAAATTTGCTACACATTTTTTGGGAGTAAGCGATAATAAACTTCTTATCTTCATTTGAAAAGCAGTCCCTGCGCATTTTTCTTAACATTAACATCCAAAGTAGTAAACTTTAAACGCAAATAAATACGCTTAAGAAATTTGAAAATAATAAAGAAATGTTAGTTAATTTCTTTATAAGCATTAATTAATTATAACATAAATTATATTTGTATAAGTGCTTATATTACATTTATTTTTTTGGAATACGTCTAAAACGCACAAAACACTTTGCGATAATCCAGTCAAGTATAAAACACCCTGTATTTAATATAATACGCTAAATAATCAAATATAACATATTTGGCCTATTTATACCCTTGTAGAGGGTATTATAATTTCAGTCAGATGTTTGCAACGCAGTGAAGGAGACGTTTCCGACCACATAAAGTATATATATTCTTGATCAGCACCAATAGCCGAGTCTATCTAGCCATGTCCGTCTGTCCGTCTGTCCGTCTGTCCGTCTGTCCGTCTGTCCGTTTCTATGCGAACTAGTCTCTCAGTTTTAAAGCTATCGCGATGAAACTTTCCCGAAGGTCTTCTTTCTATTGCAGGTAGTACATATGTCGGAGCCAGCCGGATCGGACCACTATATCTTAAGGCTCCCAAACAAATATAAGAAAATTCATTGTAACTTTGTAGGAAGTAGGCGTTTTGATTCTTGACTACTTAAAAACAAAATTGAAATAAATCGAAACGCTGAATCTGGAATCCCTGGAACTGCACCGAGTGAGTATTCTTTTATCTACAAGGGTATATAAGCTTCGGCTGGCCGAAGGTAGCTTCCTTTCTTGTTGTATAATAAGATAAGAATGTGTGTATTATTTACTTCACGTGGTGAGCTCATTTCTACAAAAGATTCGTTCAGTTCAGTCAGTTTTTAGCTTCAATGGCTTTTGCAGTTCTTTTCTGGTCACTAACAATATTTATATTATTTAACGTTGCCCAACCAAATGAAAACTGTAATTTCGACATTAGCCTGGCCAACGGAAAAGTTACGGAGACATCCAGTGTGTTCCTAGGTGATAACATCGAGTTCGAGTGTAATCGGGGATACACATTGCAGGGAAAATCTTGGCATCTCGGCAGCGGAAATATTTTGAAGCGATTCTGTGCCAGTGAGTGGTATAAGTATTTTTTTTATATTCATAAAATAAAAATAACAATAATTAAAAGTAAAAATTATTATAATTTATGAGATAAAAATTTAAGATTACTGCTTATTGGAAAAAGGTATCTAATTAGAAATCAAATAATATATTACATGTGGTTCTCGACTATTATAAAAATTCATTCAAAACAACAAAAATAATAGTATTATTAATTATTTTATTTTTTAGAGGCGGGTTGCAGGGATTTCGAAAAGCCAGAAAACGGATTTATATCCGCCTACGGAGGAGGCTTAAGGGCGGTGATCGAATGCGATGAAGAGTTCGTTCTCCGAGGAAATCCCGGAACTTACTGCAATGGAACCGAGTGGATAATTCCGTTGGGAACCTGCCAGAAGAAAAGTAACCCAGGTGACTTTTCCTGCGACTTTGAGAGGGAGGATCTGTGCGGTTGGGAGGCCAGTGTAGCAATACCACAGCCATGGCAGCGAGTCAGTGCTGCGTTTGATTTCCTAAAAACAAAGTGCATCCGGCAGGATCACACCTTTCGAAGCGACGTCCAAGGACACTTTATTCGCTTGCAATCGCAGGTTCATGCTTCCCGGACCTCTCACTTCATATCGCCGATCTATCCCAGGGATCTGACTTTGGGCCACTCCCTGCGCTTTCAGTTCCAACTCTTCATGTCTCAGACGGGAAGTAAAAGCCTGGTAATCTCAGTGAAACCCTTTTCAATGCCAGTCCAGGATATGTGGCAGAGTTTCAGGGAGAGGTCAGTAAATAATTTGGTACACCTTTTCATTAATATAAATTAATTAAAATAATTAAATGCTTAAAGCTCCATCAAACTCATTGTATCCGGCGATCAAGGAACCAACTGGCAAAGCCATTCCATCCATATCGGTGAAATGGAGACCGATTTCCAGGTGGTCTTCACAGTCACGGAACCCAGCTCTCTACACTCAGAAAAAAAAATTCCTAGATTTAAGGAAACATGGACTACATTGCCTAAAATGGTGATTTAAGGCCATTGTGGACTTAAAAATAGTAAAAATGGCCATAAATGTTCAATTTTAGGCCATAGATTTTAAGGAATTAAAATCGTGAAATATAGTCCACTACCTAAAAAATAGCACATGCCCATAAACAACACAAAAAAACTTTTTTTTTAACGAAAAATAAAAACAAATAATTTTTTATTATTCGGAAGGAAATTACGATCTTGGTACTTATCAAAATTTTACCCATATATGAGTATATTTAAAAAAAATAGTCTATAAACAATAATATATGTATTTGTTTTTATATTTTCAAGAAAATGTTTAATTAATTTTATTGTGTTGATTTTTTATATAGCGAAAACGTATAAAACTATACATTTAGTTTTTTTTTGCCATACAGTAATCATTTGCTAATTACTTAATGTATGGACAGCCACAAGTTTGATGATTTGGCTTCAATGTATTTTTAGGAAAAGTATCCCTAAAAGGAAAATAATATGCAATTAAAGACGCTCTAAATCCTTCGTTCAAGGACTAGCTATTGTTATAATAAATAAGTGGTCAATTTTGTGTCGATCGGATTAATAGTTTTATAGTAATCGTGTCCACCGCAAAGGTAATTTCGAAAAAACAAGATTCTGAGATAATCGCGTTTAAAGTTTCAAGTTTGTAACGGCCGATGTGCAGGTAGTGGTAGTGCGCTATAAATAGCTACAACTTCGGTTCTAATGCTCCGATCGTTCCGAATTTTTGTAAGAGTATTCTCAACAGTAAATATCAGTATATTTTCATCTATCACAACTGTATATAAAAAATAGTCATAAATATGTTAGCTATGCTGTTAAATTAACAATGTTTATCTTATCCATATGAGATGTTAGCTTAGTAAGAGAGTGCGGCGTACACATAATATTTTAATAATTTTTATCTAATAAAAAATTTTAAAAATGACTTTATGTGTCGCTTAGACACATGTACTTAACAGTGTCTGATGGTGTGACTGGTAAGGTGTCTGCCCCTGAAGCGAGAGGACCCCGGTTCGAATCCCACTGGTGCAAATGAGTTGAAAGTTTTTTTCAGTTGTAAAATTCATTTACTAATAACAATAAAAAATAAATACAACAATAAAATTAAAAAATAAATGTAAAAAAAAAAAAATAAAACATGTCTTGTACTGGACTCGAACCCGGTTCAAAATAACCGGGAACTGGCATAGTTTCCTCTGGGCTACGCCCTTATTAAATTTTCGAGTGGCTAACTGCTTTTGTAAGTTTAGATGAATATCTAAATGCTTAAATTTTTGGGTAATATGGGCTTTTTTTAAGACCATCATGGCCTTAAAACAAGTCAGTGTGTTAGGACTTAAAACAAGTCTAAGATTCCTTAGGTCCAAAATTAGTCCATATTACCTTAGTTTAAGTCCATTTTTTGGGTTTTAAGTCCATATTTTTTTCTGGGTGTAAACGGGGACATTGGCATCGACGATGTGGAATTTATCGAACAGTGAGATTAAATATTTAAGAAATTATGATAAAATGTATAATATACTTTATACAATATAGTACAATTTCTTTTTCCCGGATACTTTTTTGACTGAATTATATAAGGCAAAAGCCCGGCATGAATTACTGTTCATTCATCTTATCTTAATAATTTTACCTAGAAATATGAAACTCAAAATTCTTACATAAAATGTATACCAGAATATATAGAGCTCCCTAATCTACACTTCTGGTAGATAACATGTTTTCTGAGTTATATTCAGGAAATTGAGCCTAGTTTAGATCCGGCTTAAGGCGATTGTTTTTTTATTTAAAAATGATTTCCCAAAATGAATCAACAGCCTGTTTTAATCAATGCTGCGTTCTTAGTTAATAATATGAAACATTCAAAATTCTTGCTAGTAATGTTTTTTTATTATATAGCGCCCTTATCTACAAATCTACACTTCCTGTGGTGAACCATATTTCAAGAGTTATATTCAGGGAATTGAGCTGAATTCAGGGTCAGTCTTTCTTTGGCTTTCAAAGACTATACACTCCGCAATGGGTCCCCCAGCTTTTTCCGTTTTCTGGGCTCTGTCTGTAGTTATACTTAGTAACATGGGAAAAACCATGGGCTACTTCTGTGAGGAAACCGTGAATTTGGCAAATGGCACGATGACTATTAGTATTGGTTATCCAAAATTCGAGTGCAATTCCGGATATGAACTTCTTGAAAGACAATTGCCATTGGAAAGTTGCAAACAAGGTCTTTTAAGAGGGGAAAAATTTTTCTGCGCAAGTAAGTAGATTTAAATAGTAACAAAGCTTTTGATCAGTATTTTCAAATTAGTTATGTGCATTAATATTTGTTGAAGTTCAAGTTATTCGTATCATTATGTTATGTTTATCTTATTTTACAATATTTATTCAAATCATTGGTTTAAATCATAAATTTGACATAAATAATATCGGCTTTCTATTGACATGAAATAAGGTAGAAATGACCCTAATCATATCCCATTTATCTAGAGAAGGGTTGCAAGGAGATTCCACAACCGAAGATTGGGAAAATTGTCAATACCGATGGATTAAAGGCAGTGCTCAAGTGCGATGAAGGATTCGTTTTGTACGGAAACAATGTCACATTCTGCAACGGAGTCGAGTGGAGCACTTTGTATCCCCCATCTATCCCAAGGATATAACTTTGGGAAACAAATCGTGCTTTCTGTTTCATACCTTCATGTTTGGAACAGGTGTGAAAAACCTAGTCGTGTCAGTGAAACCTAAATCAATGGATGTAAAACAAATGTGGGATGACTTCCAGGCGATGTAAGTTTTAAATTCTTACATTTTTCTCGGAAAAAGTTCTTATATAAAATTAAATGTTTCAGGTACACCAAATTAACTGTATATGGCGAGCAAGGTTCCCACTGGCAATACTATTCGATTCCAATTGATGAGATGGAAGAGGACTTCCAGGTGGTCTTCACACCCTCGGATCCCAAATCTCGTTCTGGGGACATTGCCATCGACGACGTGAAATTAACGAGAGGAAAGTGTATAGCCGAAAAGCCCAAAGCTTCTCCGTTACCAGATAATGAAAATGGCAGCCCTAAAATTGAAACCACTACATCATCTACATTCACAACCGTCACGCCATCGTCCACGAAAGCACCAGAATCGCCTGAATCTAACAATGGTCACTCGTCAAAAAATCCATCAGATGTTGAAGAGCCGGGTTGTCCTGAGATGCCGAAACCAGAGAGAGGTTTTATTGTATATTATAATAAGGAGAAGGCTTTCTCTGCTGCCGCCGATGCCATAAAAGCGGAGATAATCTGTGCGTATGAAGTCGATCTAGAAGGATCTAAAACCACAACCTGTCAGAACAACGAGTGGTCACCTGAATTGGGGACATGCGGCGAAAAGACCAATGAAAATGAAAAGTCCTCAGAAAATGAAGAAAAGTCACAGGAATCCACTACCGAAAGCCCTAAACCTTTTGAGACTTCGACAACCGTGATTGAAAAGCAGACAAAAGTCAAGGATCCGAAGTCAATCAGTGCACTTTGGACAGAATTATTATTTAAGGGGGTACCGAAAAACTACCTCTTAAAATACTTTTCTTTTAAATATGAGAAAAAGGTTGCTTAAAAGTTTTAGTAATTGACTTGGATTGCGAAAATTTGTATTTTCTTATACATTTATATTTTCAATTGCTTAATCAGATTAATTTAAATAATATATTTAGGTACGAGCCAAAAAGCTTTCAAATTGCTAACAAATAAATTCAATACATTAATTTGCATTTATTATCGGGGTGTCACAAAAATTATTTCCAACCAAAATCCGTTATAATATTTACGAACATCAATGTACAATGCCAGGGTTTTTGTAATACATTTTTTGTGATATGTTTTCCTATAAGTGGAACATTGATGTAAGTATATAAATTTCAAATATTTCAAGTTGTTTAAAATAACTTTAGATTGAGAAGTTTGATAATTCTATTCCAAACTTAAAGTTATCAACATGGATAAAAAAAATATTTTGTTAATCAGACCATTTCTTAAAAATTTAACTTTTCAAGAAAGTTTGTTTTCTAAATAAACTTTATCAGAACTTACGATCCATTTTTTTCACTTGCGAGGCGGAAATATTTTACTTATGAGTAATAAATTTGCTACACATTTTTTGGGAGTAAGCGATAATAAACTTCTTATCTTCATTTGAAAAGCAGTCCCTGCGCATTTTTCTTAACATTAACATCCAAAGTAGTAAACTTTAAACGCAAATAAATACGCTTAAGAAATTTGAAAATAATAAAGAAATGTTAGTTAATTTCTTTATAAGCATTAATTAATTATAACATAAATTATATTTGTATAAGTGCTTATATTACATTTATTTTTTGGAATACGTCTAAAACGCACAAAACACTTTGCGATAATCCAGTCAAGTATAAAACACCCTGTATTTAATATAATACGCTAAATAATCAAATATAACATATTTGGCCTTTTTGTATAATAAGATAAGAATGTGTGTATTATTTACTTCACGTGGTGAGCTCATTTCTACAAAAGATTCGTTCAGTTCAGTCAGTTTTTAGCTTCAATGGCTTTTGCAGTTCTTTTCTGGTCACTAACAATATTTATATTATTTAACGTTGCCCAACCAAATGAAAACTGTAATTTCGACATTAGCCTGGCCAACGGAAAAGTTACGGAGACATCCAGTGTGTTCCTAGGTGATAACATCGAGTTCGAGTGTAATCGGGGATACACATTGCAGGGAAAATCTTGGCATCTCGGCAGCGGAAATATTTTGAAGCGATTCTGTGCCAGTGAGTGGTATAAGTATTTTTTTTATATTCATAAAATAAAAATAACAATAATTAAAAGTAAAAATTATTATAATTTATGAGATAAAAATTTAAGATTACTGCTTATTAGAAAAAGGTATCTAATTAGAAATCAAATAATATATTACATGTGGTTCTCGACTATTATAAAAATTCATTCAAAACAACAAAAATAATAGTATTATTAATTATTTTATTTTTTAGAGGCGGGTTGCAGGGATTTCGAAAAGCCAGAAAACGGATTTATATCCGCCTACGGAGGAGGCTTAAGGGCGGTGATCGAATGCGATGAAGAGTTCGTTCTCCGAGGAAATCCCGGAACTTACTGCAATGGAACCGAGTGGATAATTCCGTTGGGAACCTGCCAGAAGAAAAGTAACCCAGGTGACTTTTCCTGCGACTTTGAGAGGGAGGATCTGTGCGGTTGGGAGGCCAGTGTAGCAATACCACAGCCATGGCAGCGAGTCAGTGCTGCGTTTGATTTCCTAAAAACAAAGTGCATCCGGCAGGATCACACCTTTCGAAGCGACGTCCAAGGACACTTTATTCGCTTGCAATCGCAGGTTCATGCTTCCCGGACCTCTCACTTCATATCGCCGATCTATCCCAGGGATCTGACTTTGGGCCACTCCCTGCGCTTTCAGTTCCAACTCTTCATGTCTCAGACGGGAAGTAAAAGCCTGGTAATCTCAGTGAAACCCTTTTCAATGCCAGTCCAGGATATGTGGCAGAGTTTCAGGGAGAGGTCAGTAAATAATTTGGTACACCTTTTCATTAATATAAATTAATTAAAATAATTAAATGCTTAAAGCTCCATCAAACTCATTGTATCCGGCGATCAAGGAACCAACTGGCAAAGCCATTCCATCCATATCGGTGAAATGGAGACCGATTTCCAGGTGGTCTTCACAGTCACGGAACCCAGCTCTCTAAACGGGGACATTGGCATCGACGATGTGGAATTTATCGAACAGTGAGATTAAATATTTAAGAAATTATGATAAAATGTATAATATACTTTATACAATATAGTACAATTTCTTTTTCCCGGATACTTTTTTGACTGAATTATATAAGGCAAAAGCCCGGCATGAATTACTGTTCATTCATCTTATCTTAATAATTTTACCTAGAAATATGAAACTCAAAATTCTTACATAAAATGTATACCAGAATATATAGAGCTCCCTAATCTACACTTCTGGTAGATAACATGTTTTCTGAGTTATATTCAGGAAATTGAGCCTAGTTTAGATCCGGCTTAAGGCGATTGTTTTTTTATTTAAAAATGATTTCCCAAAATGAATCAACAGCCTGTTTGAATCAATGCTGCGTTCTTAGTTAATAATATGAAACATTCAAAATTCTTGCTAGTAATGTTTTTTTATTATATAGCGCCCTTATCTACAAATCTACACTTCCTGTGGTGAACCATATTTCAAGAGTTATATTCAGGGAATTGAGCTGAATTCAGGGTCAGTCTTTCTTTGGCTTTCAAAGACTATACACTCCGCAATGGGTCCCCCAGCTTTTTCCGTTTTCTGGGCTCTGTCTGTAGTTATACTTAGTAACATGGGAAAAACCATGGGCTACTTCTGTGAGGAAACCGTGAATTTGGCAAATGGCACGATGACTATTGGTATTGGTTATCCAAAATTCGAGTGCAATTCCGGATATGAACTTCTTGAAAGACAATTGCCATTGGAAAGTTGCAAACAAGGTCTTTTAAGAGGGGAAAAATTTTTCTGCGCAAGTAAGTAGATTTAAATAGTAACAAAGCTTTTGATCAGTATTTTCAAATTAGTTATGTGCATTAATATTTGTTGAAGTTCAAGTTATTCGTATCATTATGTTATGTTTATCTTATTATTTATTCAAATCATTGGTTTAAATCATAAATTTGACATAAATAATATCGGCTTTCTATTGACATGAAATAAGGTAGAAATGACCCTAATCATATCCCATTTATCTAGAGAAGGGTTGCAAGGAGATTCCACAACCGAAGATTGGGAAAATTGTCAATACCGATGGATTAAAGGCAGTGCTCAAGTGCGATGAAGGATTCGTTTTGTACGGAAACAATGTCACATTCTGCAACGGAGTCGAGTGGAGCACTCAATTGGGATCGTGTCAGAAGACGAATCAATCCGTGCAATACTCCTGCGACTTTGAGGGTGAGGATCAGTGCGGATGGAAGTCGCATGGAGGGGGTGCATGGAGGAAGAACAGCGCTGCTAACGATTTTCACTCCAACAAAACGGGTCCCCAGAGGGATCACACCTTCGATAGCGACACCGAAGGACATTTTATTCTCATGGAAACGGGCCGTTCCAATTTATTCGAACCCGAACACTTTGTATCCCCCATCTATCCCAAGGATATAACTTTGGGAAACAAATCGTGCTTTCTGTTTCATACCTTCATGTTTGGAACAGGTGTGAAAAACCTAGTCGTGTCAGTGAAACCTAAATCAATGGATGTAAAACAAATGTGGGATGATTTCCAGGCGATGTAAGTTTTAAATTCTTACATTTTTCTCGGAAAAAGTTCTTATATAAAATTAAATGTTTCAGGTACACCAAATTAACTGTATATGGCGAGCAAGGTTCCCACTGGCAATACTATTCGATTCCAATTGATGAGATGGAAGAGGACTTCCAGGTGGTCTTCACACCCTCGGATCCCGAATCTCGTTCTGGGGACATTGCCATCGACGACGTGAAATTAACGAGAGGAAAGTGTATAGCCGAAAAGCCCAAAGCTTCTCCGTTACCAACGCCAGCAGAGCCCACAACCTCTACTCCAACCACCAAATCGATTATTACCACAAGCAAAAAGGATAACTGTTATGACTCCATAAATTTGAGCAATGGCAATGTGACATTGGAAAACGGTCGCCCAAAGTACAAGTGCGATTCGGAATACACACTACAAGGAAGTTTGAATGACGATTGCCTTAAGGGACTTATAAGAGGAGAGCGACTGTTCTGTGGGAGTAAGTAAAACTTAATAATGTTTGTTGCGCTAATTTATACCTATCAAAATGTAGAAGAAATTTTTCCAATCGGACCATACATTAAAAAGTAATAAGCAATGAGAAATAATGGATTACAAGCAGTGCAAGCAGTCGCTTTGCTGGGTGCATATCTCCGTCTCCCTCGCACTGATAGTCGGGGTACTCACTATTGCGTTCTCTCTTGTTATAATCAAATTTAACCAAGTTATTTCAAAAGCTATATTTTAAAATTAAACTAAACCGTTGACACTTACTCTTTTTTAGAGCATGGCTGTGCCAATTCCACGAATCCCCCGAATGGCATTGTCTTTAACGATGGTTTTAAAGCAGTGGTGAAGTGCGACGAAGGATTTGTCCTTTACGGCAACAAAGTCGCATACTGCAACGGAAATGAGTGGAACACTGAATTGGGATCGTGTAAGAAGGCCCATAAGAAATTGGAGTACTCATGCGACTTTGAGGGAGAGGATCAGTGCGGTTGGAAGGCCCATAGTGCCGGTAATACTCCATGGAAGAGGATCAGTGCCGCGAGTGATATTCATTCCAACAAAACGGGTCCCCAACGAGATCACACCTTCAATAGCGAAACCCAGGGACACTTTATTCGCATGGAAACGAGTACCGGATTCAGGGCAGTCGAACACTTTCTTTCCCCAATCTTTCCCAAGAACCTGACTTTGGGCAACTCCTCGTGCTTTGAGTTCTATATCTTCATGTTTGGGACAGGAGTTAAAAGCTTAAATGTCTCAGTGATACCCAAATCATTAGATGTTGGTGACATGGAGACTGAACCAGAAAAGGTGTAAGTCAATTAGACCTTTAATATTTTAATATTTATTGAATATGTTAGTACTTAATATTTTTTTAGTATTTTAATTAGGTTAAAACAATATGGACTTTTACTAAATTAGTTGCGCTCTTTTACCCTTTTTTTAAATTTAATTCTCAATTATTTAAATACATTTTTTTCTTAAAAACATAAATTGTTATAAGTAAACTGAAATTAACATATACATTTTTCTACTGTTTCAGGCCCACAAAATTCTTGAAATCTGGCGATCAGGGTGCCGAGTGGCTTCATTTTTCGATCCCCATCGACGAGATGAATGAGGACTTCCAGGTGGTTTTCACCGCCTCTGAACCCGACAATTATTATGGGGACATTGGCATCGATGATGTGAAACTGACGAAAGGAGAGTGCAGATCTCCCGAAAACATCGCATCTTCTGAACAGGATCCCTACAGGATAAGTGGAGCAACTAGTTCGAAGGGTTGGGAAAAATATACCATAGTCTTCTCTATATTAACAATGATCACTCTTTTATACAAGTGAGAGGACTTAGTAAAATAGGAGTATTAAGCTGATTATTATTATAAAACAGCCGGCACAATAATTCTTATTGTTTGGTGAAATTGTTTTCTCGTTTTATTTGTAATAAAGTATTGTGAATTAAAGATAAAGTGTTTATCTTCTATGGCGGTTATGAGAATCCGGAGGGCCTCCAGCGATTTGCGGTTATTTCAGAACTTATCACTTAGAGACCCGCTCCTCGTAACGCTCAATTGATAAATCTCGAGACTCGAAAAGCTGCCGAGCATCGATCGGCACTCAGTCTTCTGTCAGCTTTCGGAGATATATATTCATCGAGTACAGTGCATCGTATTCCCTACAATGGAATTTTTCTGGACTCTGGCACTGCTTTTGATATACAGTATAGATCACACAAATGGTCGCTGTGAAAGATCTTTAGATTTGGATCATGGCCAAGTAAATTTTCGAGCGCGAAATGTTGTGAGGTTCCGGTGCAATCGCGGTTATTCGCTGCAGGGAGTGCTAATGAAAACCTGCGATCGAAGTGGTCGCCTTCGGGGGGAAAAACCCTTCTGTGCCAGTGAGTGGAAAAAATGAATACAAAATTCACATCGATTGAAGTTTAACTGACTGATAAGAGAAAATAATAATATCTTTAATACTAAATAATGTAAACTATAATAATTAATATTTATAGTTCAACGATCTGCCAATAAAGGTACTTCAAAAGTTTTAAGAGAAAATAATAATATCAAAAATATTAAATAAACACAAACATGAAATTGATTTTAATAAATTACTGTGATATTTATTTTTTAGATTTTTAAAAATGATTGGAAATAAATGAAAAGTAAAATGCAGTTTTCTGTTATACCTTAACTTTCAACAACAAATTGAACTAAATGTTGTATTCTCGAAATCCTCGATATAAAAGAATATGTGGGTTTTGAAATATATAAATATTAAAAATTAAAAATTGTATATACATTAAATTCGAATTATAAAAAACCGATAAGGAAATATTAAAGATGGAGGATAGCTAAATAAATAACAAATAAATTAATTTTCCTGATAACTGATATCCCTTATATATTCCCAATTTCTAAGGAAGGGGCTGCGAGGAGCACGACGTGCCTGAGAATGGACAGATTGAAAGAAACTCCCTGCGGGCGGAGATCATGTGTCGCGATGGCTATGTGCTAGTCGGCAGTCGCACGGCCTTCTGCGACGGCGAGGAGTGGAACACCCAGTTGGGATCCTGTCTGCGTAGCAACCACACGGGTGATCATTCCTGCGACTTTGAGACCGAGGATCAGTGCGGCTGGGAGGCGGAGCAGAACTTCCGGCAGCCCTGGCGGCGCGTGAGTGCGGTTTCCGAGTTCCACTCCCTGGCCACGGGTCCCCATCACGATCACACCTTTGCCAGCGCATCCGGCGGCCACTATATGCGCATGGAGACCCAGCTGGGGGCCTTCGGGAGCTACCACCTGCTATCGCCTATCTATTCGAAAGACCTCAGCCTGAAGACCGCCTGCTGCTTCCGGTTCCATTACTTCATGTTCGGCGCCGGCGTGGATAGTCTGGTGGTGTCCGTAAAGCCCGTCTCGATGAAATTGACCGACATGTGGAACAGGTTCAGGGCCAAGTGAGTTTCGCCCCGAGCGGATGAAGAATTCGATAAGGCGGCGCATGCAACGCGATAAAGAGGGGGGAATTTACCCAAAGTATTATCAGAATGGGTCTAGCTAAGGCCTTTCGGAATATTACGAATTTCTCAAAAATTAATATATAGAGCTTTCTAGCTCTAGAAAAAAAATTTAAAAAATATTTCAGAAGGGAATCAGTAAAAGTTTTTTGGAAAAGAAATATATTTTGGCATTCTATATACAAAATCTGTATTCAAAAAAGGATTAGATCATTTCATATGGTTTTTCTTGCACTTTTAAATTTCAAAGACAAACTTTTTAGAAAGTTTTTAAACAGCATAATATTTGCAAAAATTCATTTAATATTTTAATATATTTTTAGTTAATCGATGAATTAAAGAATTCTGTTTTTTAAGAACTCTTTAATTAAGCCACTTAATTATTCCCATTTAATACCAGTCATAATTCTTTGCCTTACTCTTTAGCTCGAGCAAATTTGAGATGACTGGTTCACAGGGAGCCCAGTGGCTGGAGCATACTATCACCATTGACGAAATGCAGGAGGACTTTCAGGTGATCTTTACGGCCACGGATGCGAAAGCCGTCTTTGGGGACATTGCCATCGACGATGTGAAGCTTATGACGGGCAGCGATTGTGGGGTGGATGGCTTTACCACCACCACCGAACCACCGGCACCACCGACGGCCAGCAGCGAAGAGCCACTGGTCTTCGACATGCTGAATTGCACGGGGCGCTGTGGAGCCACCGATCCCGGTTACCAAACAACCAGAAGGGGTTACATCCTTGGCTGTGGCTGTGACGAAGATTGCCTCTCGAAGGGTACCTGTTGCCTCAACTATTTCGAGGAGTGCGCCAAGGGGATGGACACAACGACCGAAGATGAGATTAGTTCACCAGCACCAACGACCCCCACAACAACAACCACTAGCACCACAAAGAGGCTAGCAACAACGACCGAAAGAACAACTACCACAACAACTACAACGAAAAGGACAACGACGCCAACAACTACAACAACAACACCCAAACCAACCACAACAACACCGAAACCGACCACAACAACAAGAAAGGCAACAAGCACAAAGAGCACAACGACAACGAAGCGAACAACAACCACCAAAAAGCCAACAACAACTTCAACAACACGAAAGTCAACAACAACAAGTTCAACAACACGAAAGCCAACAACCACACCCACAACGCCCAGAACAACAACCACTAGAAAAGTTTTTACAACACAGAAAACCACAGTAACAACAAAAAAAACCACAACTACAACCAAAAAGAATAATTTGATAACAACGACTCCAACGAGAACCACCCCACCAAGTTCAAGTACCCGAAAAATCTTAGGTAAGCAAGATATTTCATTGAGATTTAAGAAATATAGTTTTTTTATATTTTATTACTTTAAATATAATCCCCCAGTAATCAGCACCACTGAAAAGCCGAAGAAGCGCATAACTTGGAAGGTTGACCCTGAGGAAATCGCTGGGCACATGGACACGAACGAGAGTAACCCGAATCCAGCTTTAATAGTCCTGTACCTTCTGGTCGGCGTAGTCCTAGTGGTAGTTTTGGCCAATGTCGGCCAACGCTGGATATTACCAATCAGTGGATCGAGAAATATCAGCGAGAAGGCCGTGAGTTTCAAGAAGGCATTCGAGAGTCTGAAGAGGCAGCCACGAAGAAGTAGCATAAATGATCCATTGTGCGACACCGATAACGAAGACGGTGATTATTTCGAGGAAATGGGCGTGGACATACGCAATAGAACCGATCTATGAGGGTGATCTATCTTCATGGGGGGACAAAAAATGTCCCAATCTAATTTACTTATGTTTATGCCTATTGTATAGGAAGTTATGAAATATGTATGATATGAAATAAACAAAAAAAAAAAATGAGTCAAATGTATTTGTGACAATACCAGATACTTAAGACTGTGCAATCGCCTTTCGGAAATGGCAAAAGGATGATAAAGTTATTAGATAAATAAGCATTTCGGGAAGAAGTACCCTTCCCTTCTAAATTCAAATACTCTCCAAGAATAACTTTGAATAACCCAATCAAATTAGGCAATATTGTGTCTATGAAAAGGGCAAGGAAACTGAAGATGCGAAGGGCAGGTGGGAAGTAGCTGCTACACATTATGGGTTCCGCAAAGTTAACCCTCGGGAATGAATCACTTTTGGACGCATTTAACGAGCTTCGAAGGAGTAAAGCAGCCACCCCGATCTGCGTCTATAATCAAATCTTGTGGGGAGTGTCAGTTTCTAGGAAAGAATGCCTCCGGCTCCGAGTTCCTGCGGATTCTGAAGCTGCTGTCAGTCAGTTCACCCCATATCCCATACTTTTACCGCCCTCTCCTTGGAATCCGGCTGTTGCACGTGTCCTGCCAGCGGCTGTTGCAACCACCGACTGCTGCCGCGATGGACGAGAAAAAAAGAAGGGAAGGAAAACGCTGAAGACCCAATAACCTAACCGAAAAACCCCAAGCCAAAGCAACCACCAACAGAATTTTCCGAGTTTTCCGTGGGCCGGCTCGTGTTTTAACAGCGGCTTTCGGTTGTGATTTACTGGCAGCTTAGCGTCTGGCACGGGACCAGTTACCAGTTACCACTTACCAGTAACCAGACAACCAGTAACCAGACAACCTCCATCACACCCTTTGTCTGCACCGGAAGAAATACAGAAAATTACAACTGAAACTAAGAATGCAAAGGGGAACTAATGAAAATCATTTCTGTAAAAGTATTTGCACAGTAAAAAAAATAAAAATATTTTGTAAAATTAATATATGTAAACTTATTCATTCTTCGTCCTACAAATTAGAAAACTTAATTTACATTTTGTAATTCAAATATTTTTAGCTGTTGTGAAAAATTTAAACACATTTCAATTTACACATTTTCAATTTATTAAACAAATAAATTACCAGAAAGTACAATGATAATGAAAGCATATTTTTATTGCAATTAATCAAATAAAAATTTAAAATAAAATAAAAATCAAATTAATTATAATATTATGTTTAATTTTTTTTGAACATTTGAAATATATATTTTTTAATTTTTTCTTTTTTTACAAATTTTAAGTTTTTTACCGTGTAAGAACAATTTGTGCGGCTCTCAGCAGAAATATTTTTCTGGGCATTTCACGGCAATTATTGCCCCTGGACCAGACGACTCCCAGACCAAAAAGCCCAACGAAATAGCAAGTTTGCACGCTCAACAAATTTTCACACAAGATTTTCCAGCCTTGAGTTTTCCGCAGCGTTTTGCATGCACCCCTGCTGCTTTTTGGGATTTTCCCTCTCCACCACCCGAAACTTTTATTTTTTTCCTGACTTCCTGTTTGCCATTGTGATTTAACGCCCGCCGTCGCTCTCTATCGACTCCTCACACATCATTTGGCGGCGAGAATTTTCCTGTTCCTCTGCTGTTTTTTCCTACTTTTCCCGTTTTAATTAAAAAGGCATTTTGATGGGCCAGACAGGAGGCGTGCCTCAAGTTGCTTTTGGCGCATTTTCACCCTAATGCTCATTGAGGACCTAATTAAATGGTAAGTAAGTCGGCTTATCTGCAAACTGCGAGGGGTTAAGGGTTGGACTATATATACATTTTTTAGGTTTTTTTCGGCTGCATTGCATGTGGAGCATCGTAAATTTCCTGGGGACAAATTTTTGCATGGAAAATTGCGTGGTAATGGGCGGGTTTCAAGGGGTTTTAAGGGGCTCAGGCTCACCTTATCTATCGCATTCCGGACAAGCCCACACACGTCGCTAAAACGTTGGTAAAAAGGGGACGCACCCTTGATACCCTGCTTTATTCCCTGCCAAGTCCCTAGGCCTGCGGCTGTCCTCTTCTTATCGCGGCAATAAATCGCATTAATTTATTGTTGTCGCCGCATATTTGGTGGAAAGGTGGAAAATCGACCCTCCTACTCAGCCCGTTTTTCCCCCAATGGGCTTGACCACTAAGTGGTGAAAATGGTAGGGCGGCAAGAAAAAGCGACAGCAACTGCATTATTATTGTTTTCAAGTTAGCAACATGTCAGGAATGTCTAGCTAAAAGCTACGGTAGTTTGAGACGCATTACAAAAATAATGACTTGATAAAAAATTAAATAGAATTTCTTACAATCGAAAATTTGTAAAGCGAAGCACATAAAAAATGATAATTATATGATATTACAAAAATTACAAATTCTTTTAAAATAAATAAGAAAATGATCCCATCCTGAAAACATTATTTTTTAATGGTTTAAAATATAACATTTTTGTATACAATTTAATTTTAAGGAATATTTTTTTTAAGAAAATTAGCCAAGAGTAATACCATTTACTAAAATCTAATTAGCAAATCTAAGTGCCCTTTTTTTGCAAGTGTGTTTTTGGTGGCGTATGCATATATCATTCCTCAATATCCCCCCACGACATAAAAATGTCTCTGCATTACGTTTTTATTGTTTTCACATTTCTATCAGCTGCGTCAGCATTTCAGTTTTGTCCTTTTAATCTCCATGTGCGAAATTGTTGCCTAAGATCCCAATCGGAATACGAAGGATATGGAACATGGGAGAGCCAGGACCCAGGGGCCTCCGAATATTTATAACACTACGGCTGCAATTTATTATGCAGTGTCTGGACACTGGTCAGTGGAAGTGGAAGTGAAATCCGAGTGGCGAGGAGTGGAGTTGAGTTTTGGCTACTTTAATGTGCCAGTCACCAAAGATGTCACCGTGTGTGGGGGTTTCGGGGGGTTAAGGGGCTCAAAAGGGGTGTTTCAGGCAACACACAAAACCTGGCCAAGATTTATGCACTCAAGTTATGGCGGAGCAGACTGCAACTTTATCGTTGGCACTGGGACTTTACACAGAGAAAAAACGGTCTACGAAAATGAATGAATTTGAGGAATATAAATTTTATATGACAGTTCTAAACTTTGTGGATTTAAATAAAAAAAAATAAAAACAAATAAATAAAATGTTTTCCAAAATTATTCAGAGCTATAAAATGTATTTTTAAATATTTAAGGTATCTTTATGTTCTTTAAATATATATTTTTTATTTAAAATGTATAATATTATAAATATTTACCAATTTCCACTCAGTTTCATAACAAAGTTGTAGATAAGACTATGTAAAAAATTTAATTTTGTTCACTGCACACTGCTGCTTTTCCTTTTGCCAGCTTGACCAGAGTTTCCACTTTCCCCCTCCACCCCTTTTCTCCTTTACTGCAGTTGTTGTTGTTGCCTGGTCTCGACATTTCCTGTTGCCGTCCGTTATCAGTTCTCCAAAGTTGTTGTCGACTGCAGATCTTTTTGCACTTCTTGTGTGTGTCAGCCAGTATTTTTGCCCAAGACTGTGACTACATTTAAATAAATACACACAAAGGAAAAACTAGAAAGCCCTTATTAAGTTGTCGAGTGCGAGTTTCTCGGAAAATGTAACAGTAAGAGTTATCATTTACTATTTTATGGCGAACTGAACGCACTTCAGAGCTCGTTAATAACGACAGCTAATAATTAAAAGGAGATAAGATAATCATTGTTTAAATATATTAAAAAACGTTTCCATTGCAATGCATTGTGAAGTATAAAAAATATATACTTTTTATATATATCACGAACCCTGCTAGAATTGAGGAAATGACAAGATATATGGTGATAGTTTTCCTATTGCCTTGAATGATTTTATAGGTGCAATATCTAACAAACTGATTGCTAATTTCTGATAAGTTCACTTGGTAAATAAAGAAATTTCTTATAAATAGCACAATATTTAAAAAAATCTCAGTTCTCGCTTCAAGATGGTCAAAGTGGTTTGTTTGCTGGCGGCTCTTTTGGCCTTGTTTCTGGTGGTTTTGGCAGATCCAGAAGAGTACGGTGAGTTTATCTGGACTTCCTCTCTGGACTCAATATAGCCGTTTGAATCAGTAGATACCGAGCACACTTGGGTAGCTGGATTCCTCTCGCTGCCATTTCCCAAAAACGCTGTACTGGGAGGCGTCTCAACCCTCGGATATTACGTATACGTAGGACGAGTGAAGTACGAAGGCGTATTTCCCGTTCAGGTGATTGCTGAGACCGGTGAAATCACGTGGAGCAACGGCACATATGCCTATGTAGGTACCAAAAACTATGAGCTCTTGGTGACGTCGAGCAACTCCTCCTTCGAGTGGATAACCAGTCATGATGGAAAATACGAGAGGGGTTTGGTAGCCGTTGGAACCTCGATCAGTGACGAAAGGGTTTTCGTTTGCCGCGCAATAACGTCGCTTGGTCAGCTTCCCGGAACCCTGATTCTCAGCTTAAAGGTCTGCCGCGTTTCAGGAAGTACGGTCAAGTATGACAAATACGAGGTTCTAGTGGCCCGATAAGCCCGTAAAGGATTTACACAAGTTTAATCAAAATAAAACATTTTAAAAGGCATACAAAATTTTGGAAAAGCTCCTGTACATTTTGTAAACAATAAAAAGGTAATTGTATTTTCTTCATTTGATTCTAAAATGAAGTTAGTTTAACTTAAGTTTCCCCATTAAAGTTTAACTAACATGACATAATATTTTTATACCCGTTACTCGTAGAGTAAAAGGGTATATTGTTTTCGTGCAAAAGTATGTAACAGCTAGAAGGAAGCGTTTCCGACCCCATAAAGTATATATATTCTTGATCAGGGTCACTAGCCGGGTCGTTCTAGCCATGCCCGTCTGTCCGTCCGTATGAAACTACAAAAGCTAGAAAGTTAAGATTTTCCACACATATTCTTGGGCTTCCTACGCACTATGGGGAATTTGACCACTTTTTTTGGCCAATATTAATAACTTCATCAATTTTAAAGATATCAAAGTAAAACTTTAGCAATCGTTATTATTTATCACAACGCATATTCTGCATGAATATCTTTCGGATCAGACAACTGTATCATATAGATGCCATAGGAATGATCAGATCAACTTTGCTATTTTTAGAGATAAATGCATAAAACTTGATAAGTACTGTTTTAATACAGTATTAAAACCACACAGAAAATTGTGTTAAAATCGGAAGAATATTTCTTTTAGTTTCATAGAACCGAAAATTCTCAGAGTTTACATGCCATTTCTTTCATTTTTTGATACAGTTATAGCTTTATTTTTCTTTTTACAACCTCCTAAGTCCGCTTTTATTGTCAAATGGTAGCGATAAGTGTTTTTGCCTTACTTTAGAAGACATTTCAAATGTATGTCTATTGATATCTTTCTTCCACAGTGCAAACAAAGGGGCAATTGCAAAATTTGAGGTTATGATCTAAAAAACTAAATTTCTCCAAGAATCGAAAAAAGTGAATTTTCTGACTACATTAATTTTAAAGAGAATTCCTTACTCTTTAATTCCCTAAGCTTTGATGGATGGACTCCGCTGGACTCGCTTTGTATCTCTATTTAAAAATTGGTTTTCTTTAAAAATATTCATGTTAGACCGGTCACAAAAAAAATCGATTACAAGAAAACCACGATTAATTTAGATTGTTTAATCACACAAATACTTAGTGCACACTACCCTCCCTTGAATTAATTCAAAAAACTCCACTTAAATTGCTTTAAGACTCTTATTTTTAGCAATTAAATAGTCTCAGCATTGCGTCAAATTTCTGAGGCGTGAAAATGCAACATACAGCAGCTGATCTAACAGCTGTAAGTTAGCAGAGGCGGCCTCTATCGAAATTCCTGAAACGTAACATTGAAGATTGGTCTTCTGTTAAAGTATTCTAGAAAACACAATTTTAGTTTAACGACTTTAAAAAAATGGGTTTTGGCCAAAAAAAGTGGTCAAATTCCCCATAGTGCTACGCAGCGCAAGTTTATTTCAGTCGAGCGCCACGCCCCCTCTAACGCCCACAATCGCCCACTAACGATTTTAAAATGTGTCCTGCGCCCACATCTTTAAACATTTCCGAGAAGTATAAATGCAATTTTGTTGTGTATATTTATACCTATCGAAATTTAGAAGACATTTTTTAAATCGGACCATTCATTAAAAAGTTATACGCAATCAACGTTATATATCCATCTCCCTCGCACTCCCTTTAGCCGAGTGACGGGTATTAGATAGTCGGGACACCAACCCGAGCACAGCGTTCGCACTCCCTTTAGTTGAGTGACGGGTATTAGATAGTCGGGAATCCAACCCGACTATAGCGTTCTCTCTTGTTTGGTCTTATATATAGTTAACTTTTTCTTTATCAAATTGTAGCCATAAAAACTCAGATAAGGATTCCTGATCCTAAGATATATGGCACCAGTATCGAAACGAACGATAGCTGTGCTCTGATAATTCTGAGACACATTTGTAGATAACAATTTTCAATAAAAGACGAATCAGCTACAAAGGAACCCCAGTTCCCATTTTATAATGGTCAAAGCTTCTCATTTGATTGTGGCGTTTTTCGCCCACATATCCGTTGTTTTTGCAAATCATGCCGGTATGTATAGAAGTGACCCACTACTCTAACTTCGATTGTAACAATGTTTGAATCTATCCGCAGACACCGAGCACACTTGGGTAAATGTTGGCCCGGGCCTCCCTTATCCAAGGAATGTCGTCGAGGGAGGCTTCTGGACAAATGGGACCCATGGATATTCCGTTTTTGTAGCCCGCCTTAATTTTTTTGAAGAGGGGTTTTGTCCCGCCTATGTGCGATTAGACTTACTCCATATCTTCTTCAACACCCCGAGTAATTCTTATACGGGCGTTAATTTGAATCATGACTTATTGGTGTCCACAGATGAGTTCGAATATAAGTGGGTAAATAGTCACAGTGCCCTACATGATATGGGTGTTGTTGCCGCTGGAACATCAGCCACATATGATCTAAAGTTTATCTGCCGGGCATTTACGCCCAAGGGCTTGATTCCTGGTAACCTCGATATGTTTCGAAATGGTTGCGCAGTTAACGGCGAGGGCCTAGTTTTTTCAGTTTACGACAAATACCAGGTTCTGGTGGGGGTAAGAAAGAGTGGATCTGGGGCTTGAGACCCATTAGGGCTTACATTACTCGAAATCGAAAAATCCCTCTATTTTAACTAAATCTTCTACCAACATAAACGATGTAAAAACTCAAACTTGCAAAAGTCCAAAGGTCCAAATAAACGTATTTTTTGATGAATAATAACGTTATCTTTATCATTAGCCTTCTTTCAATTGCAGAAAGTATATAAATCAAACAAAATAACCTCTTGACGATCGAACCTTCAAAACACAAAAGCTCTAATATCAAGTTTTGATTATACATTCGACTAAGTGAATACACTTTCTATCTGTGTATTAATTTTCCCCATATTCCCGCCACTTGGGTGAAAAATTAAAGAAAAAACAAGAGAGAACGCTATAGTCGGGTTGGATTCCCGACTATCTAATACCCGTCACTCAACTAAAGGGAGTGCGAACGCTGTGCTCGGGTTGGTGTCCCGACTATCTAATATTCGAACATTAGCTAAAGGGAGTGCGAGGGAGAAAGATATATAACGTTTTTTTGATTGCGTATAACTTTTTAATGAAAGGTCCGATTTAAGAAATGTCTGCTACATTTCGATAGGTATAAATATTCACAACAAAATTGCATTTATACTTCTCGGAAATTTTTAAAGATGTGGGCGCAGGACACATTTTAAAATCGTTAGTGGGTGATTGTGGGCGTTAGAGGGGGCGTGGCGCTCGGCTAAAATAAACTTGCGCTGCGTAGGAAGCCCAAGAATATGTGTGGAAAATCTTAACCTTCTAGCTTTTGTAGTTTCCGAGATCTCAGCGTTCATACGGACAGACAGACAGACAGACAAACAGACAGACGGACAGACGGGCTAGATCGACTCGGCTAGTGACCCTGATCAAGAATATATATACTTTATGGGGTCGGAAACGCTTCCTTCTGGCTGTTACATACTTTTGCACGAATATATCCTTTTGCTCTACGAGTAACGGGTATAATAATTGAAAAGCTGTTGTGGTCTTATTTTAAATTTTGTTTTTTTTCGAACTTTTGAAGGGGCACTTTACTTTCCTAGTAATCTGAGCTGCCAGTGGCGATCTAAATGTATGGATTTATGACAGGGTACGGCTACAAAGAATGCCTTATAAGCAGAAATAATCTTTAAAATATATAATAATGATTGGCCTGAGAGGACAGCAAAGATAAAAAATTGCAAATAAAGGGCACCACTCCACAGAATAGAATCACAGTTCTTTCTTCAAAATGTTCAAGGTGGGTTGTGTGCTTTTGTCTCTCTTCGGTATATTCCTGGCAGTTTTTGCTGCTCAAGGTGATTATGGTAAGTTTTTTGGAGCAGTACACTACCAAGATATAAGTACTTTAGCTACCTATTTGCAGACACCGAGCATACTTGGGTAGTTGCAAACAAGTCCATACCATTTCCAAGAAACGCCGTTGTGGCAGGCTTTTCGAACCAAGGATATTTCTTTTATGTAGCCCGCTGCCGATGGGACTTTCATGCCACTGCCCGAAATGCTTTGCCTGCCCATGTAAAACCAGAAGATCCCGGAAGAATTTGGTACAACCTCGACAGTGGTGCAAGGGAAGAAATTGATGCAGATTATCAATTACTGGTGAAGACTGATGAGTTTGAATTTGAGTGGATAACCAGCCATGATGATAAATTCGAAAGGAATATGGTATCCGTTGGTTCTAATATGAGGAGAGAGCGGACTTTCCCCTGCCGGGCAAATACGAACATGGGCTTACTTCCTGGACACTTTGCTTTCGGGATTGGATGCATGGTTAGCAGCAAAGATTTTCCGCTAACCAAGTTTGACAAGTACGAGCTTCTGGTGTCCCGATATGTTAAGCCAACAAGTTGTGCCTAAGCTTAAACATTATTGATCCGTCAAGCTAGAGATGGGAAACTCACAATTTGTAGATTTCTTTGTCAAACAAAAGGTTTTTAATAAAAATCATTGTTAAGCACAATAAAAAAATGGTAAAAATAAATACCTGGATTTATGAGACAGCCGAACTAAAATAAGTAGCCCCATAAATAAATACATTAACCGATTGCTCTAATTGCGTTTTAATTTAGAAAGCTGCGATTGGCAATAACTCTGAAATGGGATCAATGAATTCTGTTTCCGATTGTGATAACAGACAGACAACGTTGTTGATACAGAAAAGAATATAAATTATTTTTATATAACGAATATAACGTACTTTTGGGACTATTGGGAAATTTAAATAGAATTAATTTTGATATCTGGTACCAAAAAAGTAATCCATTCTTTTCTCAGTAAAACCTAGTTTGCTAGAAATCCGCTTAAAGGCCAACCATCGGGAAACTAAGTTTCTTCTTGCCGCTTTCCATTTTCATTGACGTCATCACTGGGATCTCAGGATCATCGTGGTAATCACCCAGCAGCAGCATAAAAACTAATTAAGCATCACATTTCACATCCAATTCGACCTCTTGCTCCCCTGAGTATCCGCAAATGGCAGGAAAAATAATATTGCAAAAATAAGAAAAAAAGAAGAAGAAAATCTAAGCAGAGGAAAAGAAAAAGAAAACCGAAATCGAAATATAAGCCAAATAAATTTCTCGTTCACCAAATGCGCTTTCATAATTAATATGAAAAACAAGGGGAGAAACAAGGAGCCAAGTCATAGCTGCCATGACAACAAATGGAAATGAAAAGGAAAAATGGAAAATGGATGGGGTGAGTGCACAAGTTTCCCCTCCTTCAATATTTTCAGGGTCTGGCTTCGGGATTGATGTGCATTACACAAGGACTATTCCGTATCCACATTCGCATCCGCAGGCGAATGAAAAGTGCAGCAAAGCACTATGGGTAAAAATCCCAATTTTGGTGCATAAACCTATTTATTTTCATAATTTATTTTAATGAATGGACCATACTAATCGATACTTGACATCTTCATTTGAAGAAAGCCGCCTTCCAAAAATTTTTGGTGGCAAATCTGTACTTTTGCCACTGCAACAAAGTTGCCTGATAGAGAGACCTAGCAATGTCGGAAAATTGAGAGAAAAATTAGCTTACTTTGCTTGTTAATTGTGTGGTGTGAAAGAAGACTTTCATAAATCTGAAAATGGAAATTCCTTGGAAAGGTATTTGTTAATGTATATTAGCTTAAATGTTTGCTTTTATGTGTCTTGTTGTCCAACTGTAAAGTGTCTTATATGTGTATCTTTATAGATTTGAGCTAGCGATTGTGTTTTTGTTTGTGAAGTATAACTTCTTAATGGCACAGAGTTGCAAAGAAGTAAAAACGAGGAATTAACCACAAAAGTTCCCTTGTTGCCATACAATTAACCATTTTTGCTCATTTTTGCTCCTTTTTGGTAAACTTGCGTTTATCTAGCCACATATGAGTTCACCTTGTATAGGACTAATTACATTTGGTTCCCTATGAAGCCACATCATTATTGAAAAATACATTGTTCCTGTTGACTCCTTAGCAAAAAGTGCATCAGAACCTAGACACAAACTTTGTTTGTAGCGCAGTTTTCTGAATCATCTTTAATAAGAAAGTAAGAAAATTAATTTTAAAAAATCCAAAACAATTCACAAAAACTTGGTGAGTGGGTTATAAATTAAGGACATAAGGTATCTTTGGGTCAGAAAAGCATTGTAGAAGAAAATTTTTGTATTTAATTTATAAACGCTGTTCACAAATTAAGATTATTTAATTTTGCAATGACTTTCAAACTTTGAATGCTCCCACCTTCTCTTGTGGTTACGTTAGATTACATCTTCAAAAAGGATCATACACAAGACACGTGTAACTATTTAATTCCGAAAAGAGTAACAAAGTTGGTGACCACTCTTGAAGATATATCGCAAAGGACGTAGAAAAATGAAGATTTTCTTAAATTAAAGATACGGGAAATACCAGAGCCGCAGTGGCAAATTATGCTTAGAAAAGCCGTATTTATCGAAATAAAATGGTGGCATGTGTAATTTTTAACAATTACTTAATAAAAAAAAAATTTTAACTACTAATATCAAATAAAGCACAAAAAAAATTTCAATATAATATCTTTTAAACTTGAGTTTTTCAACCAAAAACGGGTTTTTTACCCATAGTGCAAAGGCAGAATTACTAAAAGTTTACGCTACACTAAAGAAAAAAAAAATGTATATAAAACAAAAAAAAAAACAAATATTTCTTAAAAATAATAATGATTTTATCTTCTTTAAACTCTTTTTTTTCCATAAATTTTCTGACTTTATTATACTTGGAACATGAAAAAAAATATCTATTATTTTGAAAATAAATATTTTAATACGAAAATATTTTAAATAAATATTTCTCGTAAAATACAACATAAACTGAACATTTTTTAAAAGAAGCCAAAATGTACCATAAATGAATCCAATTACTCAAAATATTTTTTTCCCCTCTGAACCTTTTGAAAAACATATCGAAAATCAAACAATTGTCTTTCCTACATTGGCACACAACATTCATTGTGCCTGGCACGCCCGGCAATTGATGTGTTGTTTTTTCACCAGCCACCAGCTGTTCGAGGAGCTGGAAAAGCCGAAGGAAAATCTGGCGGGAATGCCGGGAAAGGGAAAGGGAAGAAAAGCCAAAAGAAGCTGCAACATTGCATGGTTTAATCAGCAGCTTACAAGGGTAAACAAAGGGAGAGGAAAGCCAAAAAGTGCATGAATCGAGGAAAAGTGGGCTGAAAAGTGGGTGGGTAAATGCGATCCATCAAAATGAAATTGAAATCTTTTGCTCATTTTTGAGCTTCTCTGGGCGAGAGGCGGTGGGTTGAAAGATACAAAAATTGGGATTGAAATTCGCATTTGGCATTGCAGTTTGTCTTTGGCTTGACTTGGCTGCTCCTGTTCGTCCTGCTCCTGACTATCCCGATTCCACAGGATGCTGCCTGCTCCCAACTCCCTTTGAACATTTCTACCCCCCTGCCATGTCAATCAATGTCAATAAAACAATTACTGTCACTTGCAGCTGGGCGAAAGGCAAGGACAAGCGAAAGGGAAAAGGGGCGGGAATTGTGGGAGAGGCAGCGGGATGAAAAGGATGAACAGCCAACGACTTTGGACTTGGTGTCATGTTCGAGTAGCTGGCAAAGGGAAAGCGAAGGGGAAAAGGGAGTCGAGGGACGCAGGACAGAGGACGAAGGACTCCCCTGCAGTTGTCGCAGCTGGAGTTTTCAAATCGAAGCGGGCTGGCCACTCAACAAAAACCCGCCCACACGCTGGGCAAAATGCACTGGCATAAAAATAGGGAAAAGTGCCAATATTTTAAAGTTTTTTTATGTTAAAACTAAAATGTATGAGAATTTCCATTTCAAAAGTATAATATGCACTGAGAGTAACTAAAAAATATTTTAAACCTTAAATTATTTTAAAAAGTTTATTAAAAGTGATAAATTTATTGGATATATTAAAACGAAATATGTATTTTAGTCTTCAATTTAAAATCTCAACAACATTTACCTATTATAAACAGTTAAAAATAACTACAAATAAATATAAAAACTACACGATAAAACTTTAAAGAAAAGGGGTAGAGCTAATGGGATTTATTTAACTAAGAATGCAATCTAAATCTTCCAGTTAAAATCTTATCAACATAAACTTTTAGTTTTATTTTAAAATCGTTTTAAGCCTTTGTATTTGTATTTTTGATATTGTTCTGGGCTACAACAGTCTTTAATCTAGCAAATAAAATATTAAAATAGGTTTACCTCTTTTTTTTGAGTAAACGTAAAAAAAAATATTAAAATACAAAAAAAATCTTGCTACCTTAAAATATAATTTTTCAAAAAAAAAAATATTAGGGAATTTTCCTGATTGAAACTGAATGTATGGTTACGCAAGTGTAAGCTCCCTATGCTGCCGTTCAGGGCCCAAGGAGAAACTTCTCCCTTTGCCGCATTTTGGGGTAAAGTGTTTGCGGTTCTGCATCTCTGGTGCCCCACTGGCCACTTCGCCCCCTCTGTCACTCCCTGTTATTGGCAATAAAACCCAACCGTTCCCCCTTCCAAAAAAGGGGAACTCAACTCCGTCAGAGAACTCGACTCAACTCCATTGGCACTGTGACAAATCGTTTGCTTTAGACATGGCCTGCCATTGGCATAATCGTTCAGTCATTGCAGTTTCTGTTGCACAGTGGCCCTATCCCGTTTCCCTCCTCCCCCTTTTTAGCCCCCTTTAACCCGCCCCTGGAGCCAGCAACATTGTGTCTAGCTTTGAGTTACATTGTCTACGCATCGAAGTTGCGTTGACAGCCATCGACATTTGCTGGAGGTTTTTGGTCCTCTGCAGCCACATGCATTATACATGAACCACCTCGAGAAACCTCCTCGAAAACCCCCCAAAAAACCCTGAAAGTTCAGATGAAGGAGGTGGATAAAGGAGGCAGGAAAGCCAGCAAAAGTGGGCAGAAGAAGTTGCAGGAAGGAGAAGCCTTTTGGCAAGCCATGACAAACTTTGTGTTTAGCCAACATTCGAAATTAAAAGTAAGAGGGCAACTCTGGCCAAATCAAGGCGACACAGTGAAAGCAAAATGCACTTGGAAAAAATGTTGGTTATCTGGCAAATATAAGCATAGGAATTTTAAAAAGTTAGTCGTAAAATATAATGTTATTAATTAATTATAACTAAAATATTTATTTTATTTATAGTTACTATAAATACAATTTATTTATTAAATTTCCCTTATAAAATGTAGTATCTTATATTTTTAAACTAAAAATTCGATTTATTTATCACTTGAACAATTTACTAATATTTTTAATAAAAAGAAAATTATTATTTATGAAATTTTAAATTAAAAAAATAAATATAAAAGTAGAAGTGATTCTTTCAAATTGTTGACCAACCTCTTTATGTGGCTTAATCACAATGTTAATTTTTTGCAAGTGTTGAATATTAGTAGCGGGATGAAAAGTTTTGGGAGAAGGCAATTGAAGGCGGGAGGAAAATCGCCAATGGGGCTCCGTTCGGTTCGACTCAATTTGAGAGTCTGGGATTGTGCATCTGCCACTGTGATTGGCTCAGAAATCACAGAAGTGTGCTGCACTTCGCAATAATCCGAGCTGGATGGAATGCTCCTGCTTTCGCCTCCATAATGTAGAAAAGTCCAGGAAAGCCTAGACACGGGACTCTATTTATAAAGGTGGTCGTCTAATGGATTGGATTGGTTTTTGCCAAAGCAAACTGATTGAATAAAGAAGTCAGAGAAATCAGAAAGCATTGGAAAATTGCTAATTACGTAATCACCTGAAAAAATTGGAATTTTTGTACTCAGAAAGAAAGTATGTTATGAAAAGATAATTTATTTTCAATGGAAATAATATTTGTTTAACTTGGATATTTTCTTTACTTATATATTAAATTAATTTTCTCATATTTCTTAATACATAAATTGTTTTAATACTCATTCCAAAATGTTCTGGACTCAATTGATTAATAAAGAATCAAATTCCATTACTTATTTAGCACTAGGAATTCCCCGCTCTTCCATCAACTAACCCAAGCTGAATCCTAATTAATTGATAGATTATGAATGCCTAATACCCAACCACCTGGCTGCCCATCCCTTGCCCCTAATGAATACAATTACAATTAGTCAATTAGCTAATCGTCTTTGCTGCTTGCCGGTGAATAAACCGAGTCAATTCAAATGTATCTGACGGATGCATAAGTATGCATATGTTTCGGAGTTCAGTGGGTGAGTGTGTCTCTCCGGGTATCCGGGAGTATCTGTGACAGATTCCGCCCACAGATCGGATCACTGCATTATTCATTCAGACTGCATGCGGTTCTCAGTCGTGGAAAAGGGCGAAAAATGGGGGAAAAGTGAGGGAAATGGGCGGTGCAAGGTGGGAAAGTGACAAACGAGCTGTAAAAATTGTTCCACACGAAACCAAATGAAATATTCACGAAATTGTTGAAGGAACTGCAAATGAATTATAAAACGTGCACGCTTACTGAAGGCGACAGATGAATAGAGATGGATTTGCAGGGGGACGGGGGATCCTGTATCTATGGAATGGATGTCAATGATGACGATGATGTGACATTCAATGATGATGGATTTTGGCAAGTGTTCGAGCAAAAGATGTCAATAGAAGCGGAAATACAACGAAAAATGAAACAGTAAAAGGGGAAATGTGAAACACACACACGGATATATATGGATAAAACTGGTTATTTTAAGAGAATAGAAGAAAGTATCTACAAATATTAAAGACTACAAATGTGTTTGGAGTTTAAAGATCAGCTTTGCATGGCCTATATTCGAACTAGGTGCTTATCGATAATGACGACCACTTTACTTTTACTTCACTTTTTTTTTAAAACGATACTATCGATACTACCAAATTGCTAAATAATACAACCATCGATAGTATCGATAGTGCCTTCGATTGTTTTACTTATCCCAAATGACAACCACCAAGTTTTTATATGCAAAATGTAAACAATTTATTCAATGGATAACAATAAAACTAAGCAAAATCCGTTCAGGTGATCAGTTCTTTATCCTTGGTCCTTCTTTTCGATCGCTGCCGTTGAAATTTGTTGGTTGCCGCTGCTTTGACTTACAACATCCACTGAGGTTCTCCGCAGACACACTGCTTGATCCTCTTCTCCAGATTCTTCAGGATGCTTATCAAGTCCTGGCACAGGTTGTCGCGACTGGGGCATCCCTTGCATGGCTCTCCACCGGGACCGCATGGCTTGCAACCGCAGCCTGGCTTCTTGGTGGTCGTTGGTGCCCTCTTGGTCGTTGTTGCCCTCTTGGTCGTTGTTGCCCTCTTGGTTGTTGTTGCCCTCTTGGTCGTTGTTGCCCTCTTGGTCGTAGTTGCCCGCTTGGTCGTTGTTGCCCTCTTGGTCGTTGTTGCCCTCTTGGTCGTTGTTGCCCTCTTGGTCGTTGTTGCCCGCTCGGTCGTTGTTGCCCTCTTGGTCGTTGTTGCCCTAGTGGTTGTTGGGCATGGTGTTGTGGTTGTTGTTGTCGTGGTTGGGCGCGGTGTTGTGGTTGGTTTGGTTGTTTGGCACACTGGGGTGGTTGTTTGGCACGGTGGTGGTGTTGTTGGGCACGGTGGTTGTGTGGTTGGTGGCGGTCTGCATGTTGTAGTAGGTTCCGGTTCCGGGCAACCACATGGAAGTGACGAAGAACTTACATTGCCGATCAGCAGGACACTCGCTATTAAATTCAATAAAATTGCATTATTTTAAGTAATTAAAAAAATCAGTGGTCCTTCTTAAAAATTACCAATCAAAAGGCAAAGAGTAAACTTCATGTTGATTTTTTTTCTTCGTCGCCTTGGTGGTGCAACTGAGTTGTCGGAGGAAAGCTGAGCCGCTGACTGATGCCTTTCTTGGGCTCTTCAATCCCGTTTTATAGGCACTTTCGTTCCTCAAAAGTTGTAGTTAAAAATAAAGCGAGCCCCGTTGGTTCCGATCGGATGCGATCCAGCTGCTGTTATTATTATTAGCCAACAACTGATCCGAAGTTTGCTCAAGTTCAAGGTTGCGCATACGCCCAGTGTTTGCTTTGCTGTCGCGTGCAAAGCATTTTTATTGTTTCATGGGTCATATGGTTAAAATGTTGTCATCAGGTAGCTTGTAGGCTTTATATTTTAATCCTTATAATATTCTATCATTTTTTGTATTTTTTATAAACTCTATAATTGAATAAATGGATATTTTTTTTCAAGAAATAAATTGTATCGATAGGATATCTCTTTAAATATTTCACAGCCCCTTAAAATAGTAACCACATAACCCAAGACAAAGTGCCAACGATATTTCTTAGCTATTAAACTTTGTCGCCTATTTCCTGGCCGCAAGAAGTAAAACTAATCAAATAATCATAAGCTCTAATTTCAATTCAACAACTCTGCAACAAAGTGCTGTTCGTTCGCCAGCGATTTTGTGGGCACAACAAAGTCGGTCCATAAAGAGTCTTCGATCTGGAGGAATCGCATTTGCATGCTGTTCGGGAGGGGAAAATTGCCGTGTGGACAATGCCGAGATGACTAGAAACGCGCAACAAAATGCCATAAAGTAGTGGGATTGGAATTGGGACTACGATGGGAATGGGAATGGGATGCATCTGCCACGGGCAGAGCCACAATGCCACAACATCGCAGATGCAGCACCACAAATTTCCGAACCCATCCCTATATGCAGGAGCCACCCAACTTCAGACCATCGAGAACTCTTGTCGCCACTGACACGTAAACTATTTGGCACGCAATGCACTTGGCGACTTGCTGATGTTGACGCACATAAAATGCCAAATGCTGTGAAGGATGTCGATGGGGGAGATGGCGATGTGATGGCGATGGTGATAGGGATGGGGCTCCTCCTACTTTAGATACTGCCCCAGCACTTCCCGGCTTTCGCCCCACCTTCCCACGGAAAAGCCACCAAGCAATTTTCCTCAGGACTCTCGCTTCTGGCAGCGGCATAATGCGATTTGGGAATTGATTGCGCCAGGCACTCGACAAATGCGTGCAGAGTATGGTGCACCGCAAGAAAGCTAAATAAAAAACGAGGTGAATGCCATCAAAGGATTCACACATACAGTAAAAAAATCCTTTTGGAACAATTATCAATATCCTGAAATATTATATGGAGGACCTGATATAAAGAACTATAAGATATATTTTATTTTCAGAAATAATTTAAGACTGAATTTACATTTTGTCACTTTTGCAATTTACGAGGTTAATGAAATTGTATTAAAATATTAATTTTAAAAAAGAAAAAGTTAACAAAATATTTAGACAAGTAAATAGATCCCAAAATCATAACATCTACTTTAAAACATAATTTTTTATAAATTGATTATCTCCATTTTATTTTTAAAGTTTAAAATGAAAGTAGTATAAGCTTGTTTAATTTTTAATAAATTACAAGAAATGTTTTTATTAACTTTTATTTTATTATTGACATTTTTCAAAATATGAAGGTTTAAGTTTGTTAATGCTTTAAAATATTTTACAATTTAATACAACCCACTTTTTAAGTTTTTCCCAGAATGTTTAAACTTATGTTTAATTTCCAAAAAGTATATTTTGAGGTATTATCCGTAATAATAAAATATTTTTATATATTTCAGAATAGAATACAATTTTGCAGCAGTGTACAGCTGCCGGTTCAAATTGGAACACCACTCCTTTACGAAACATCAACTAGCTGAGCTCTCAACCCCCCAAAAAATTCCGCACTCATTTTACGCAAATTACATTTTGCGTTTCGTTGGTCGGTCAACCCCGAAAAAGCGAGTGGAAAAAACCACAAAAGCCGAGTAACCATTTGCAATACAGTTTTTAATATGCCATTCATCAAGACGATGTGAGATGTGAGAGGTATTTGGATTTGGATTCGGGAGGAGGAATGCCACTTGTAGACTGTTTGTAGGCCTGTCATTCAGTCCGACTTTATTGACGGGGCGTCCGCCCGGTCACGTGTTGCCAACAATTCAATTTGAAACTCGTAACTGCACCACCCAGCAACCCAGCAATCCAGTCACCCAACCATACTTGCCCAGCATGACGCACTCATTCATCTCCAGAGCTCCTCCTTCGACCAGGAACACTATCCCCTGTCCACTTGTCCACTTGTCCCATACACTTTTGTTCTGCAACAACTAACACAACACAACGAACAACATGAGTAGCAACAACTGTGGGTTGCTGATTGCGTCGACAACTTTGTGCCATTGTGAGTCGGGTCATAACGCAAATAGAGATGGGCCAATCACATCGGTCAGGAACTATGAGAGCCGGAAAAAGTATTTACAACTTTTTATCTATTTTCTAAAATACCCAAAGGCATTTTTATTTATTTAATACATTTTTTTATGCCTAAAAGTTCAACGAAAATATATTCTAAAAATAAATAAATTAAAGAATCAATAACCTGTATTTACATTTCGATTATATTAATAACTCAATAAGGGCATAACTCCCTTTTGGTAAAAATCTATAACATCTGTTTAATAAGTAATAACAGCTTTATTTATTAATAAAATATTTTAAGAATATATAAACGAATTCTTGACGTTTATTTATTTTTTAATTACACCACAACTATGACCCTCGCTCATTTATAAGAAATCCCCCATTTTAATCATTCCATGTCATGCCGTATGTTCCATTCGATGTGGCCAGCTTTCTTTGATCCGGCAGTTTGGTCACAGTCATCATCATCGTCGTCATCTCCAACGGATCAGATCCGTCGGCCTATATGAGACAGCTCGTAAATCACGCAAATGTATGCACCCCTTGGCACGCCCCCACCACCCACAATTCCAGGGGGTTGACTAACGCCCATATTTACCGTAGCAACAACTGGCGGCGAACGGCACTTTTCTGCCACTCTCAGTGGTTCCAAAAATACACTGCTCAAAAGGGCTTAGTATTATTAAATAATAAAGAATTTTAATTATTATATTTTTTTTATTTCCGAAACTAAATAATATCAATTCAGATTTTAAAAATAATTTGGAAAATTAACATATTATTAGCAAAAGAGTATTAAATAATTTTTCGTTAAAAAATTAGGAATTTTATAATATTTGATGAGTTTTTTCTAACGAAAAAATCCAAATAAAATCCTTTTACTTAAATTTTGTCTCATATCTATTGAATTATATTTATAGGGAATATTTCTGGTAAACAAAGAATTTGTCGATTATTTTCTACGGTGCAAAAGGCCCCTTTGACAAGAGTGCTTCTTTCGAAACCCAGGGCGATTCCAATTTGAATGGTCGGAGGGCATCATTTTGGCATTGTGTTTATGGAAATTCCGGGCAGCTTCTGCTTTCCCCAGCCTCTGTTCATGTTTTTCCCTGCCCTTTTTTGCTTTTCCACTCATTGTTGGTTGCTTACTACGACGTAATTGCAACAATTTTCCGATGACGCAGGCTGTATGTCTGTCGGTCCCGCCCACTTTTCCCTAGAAACTCCCAGGGCCTCTGGATTTGCTTGATTTACTTGTTTGGGTTTTGATTTCCGTTTGATTTGTACGCCCGAGTTTTTGGAGCTCTTTGCCGGAAAGCGTCTTTCGTTAATCGCCTCCATTTTAGCCGGAGTCTGCCTAATGGTTTAATGAATTCACTGTCTGGGTATCCCCATCCTATCGCCGGGAATCCTTCATTCCGGATCCCCATTTCGAAGCTTTTACGAGCAAAACACTTAAATGCAATGGCGAAGTATATTTCACAATGGAGTGCGATTCCCGCTTAATTATGCGCAGGCAGAAGCCAGACCGAAACCCAAAACTCAAACCCGAAAAGACCGGGATCCGAAAGTGGGAAATGGGGATTCCCCCCAGATAGACACAAAAATGGAGGACACGGTTCGGCATTTCAAAAATTTGTGCACAAAAGCTCAAAGACAAGCGAAAGCCAGTGCAGCCCTAACTAGCAACAAACAATTATTAATGGGTGTAAGGGGAGACGGGTTAATGGAAAGTGGGAACTATTAAAATACCCTATAAGTTGAGAAACTAGAAGGAGGGGAAAATGTATTTTTTAAATATAAAAATATAATAAAAAATATAATAAAAATATAAAAATATATTTTTTTCGACGAAACTCCTTTTTATCTTAATAACTATAAAAAAGTCTTTTTTTACAGGTATTAAAAATATATTATTTTACAAAATATTTAAATATTATTTTTTCCAAAAATAACGTATATTTTAAATCTATGATAACTAATAAAAAGGGCTGTTCTAAACTAGTAGATCAAATGACAGTAAAAACGGGTTGACATAGAAATCTAAAAATCATAGAACTAAAATAAATTTATTGTATAAAATATTTTACTCTTAGTAAATTTAAAAACTAAATATACAAAATATAATACACAGAAATGACTTCGATTCCAATAAACCTTGTATAATTTCAATAATATTTACTGAGTACAAACTGAAGGGTTGGTCGTCTGTTCGACATCACTCCCTCCATATTTATCATTACCGTCTGTTGCTGTCCTCTCAACTCATCTCGTCTATTCAATGTTTGTAGCCATGACAGAAACAGAGGGAGAACTTGATGTTAAAGCCAAGGCAATAACAGAAACAGAAGTGGAAAATGGCGAAGGGAATGCGAGGAGCGAAAAGGCAGTGAAAAACCGAAGTGAAAGCTAAAACAGAAGCTTTGACCATCTTGGCTGGCATTTTCCATAAGGACTTTATTACTTTTTCATCTCGTTTCATTTCGTTTTAATTTTATTATGAGCCAAAATGGCAATGGCACTCCACTGGACCAACTTCATCGTTCTCC